GTAAAAACTCACTTGCACTCCACTGTGTCATATAGTAGACTAAACAATTTGTCAATACTTAGTATTGAGTTTGAGCGTCCAAAGGCAATAGACATGGATGTTTTCATTAAACGGTTTTGTGCACAGCATGGTAACTCAGCTCTTCTGATTTTTTGGGTTCTCATGTTTGACTGTTTGTCTGACTAGAGTAACTAGGTTCACATAATCAGTTACAGTAGTATATCTACTTCTCTGTGTCATATTCAGATTTTTTTGTACAGTCGAGAACTTCACGGTCGCAGCGCGAGACTTTCATCAGCGCCTCGATCAGCTCGACACTTCTAAGTATGAATGACAAAACAACAGCACAGTCTTCAGCACTGAAATGCTAGGTTTGAGTTCACACACAGGTTAGGTGTTGTATTATAGAGTCTCATGACCTGTCATATGATGTCACTCATGACACATTGCACCGGTTACCTTATCTTTATCTGTCTCTCAGTGCCCTGGATGTGCGGATGGTGAATGATCAGCTGATGTATTTAGAGAGAGCTTTCATTGATCCGTTGGGTTTGCCTGGAAGACCATTTTACAGGTAAAGCACAATCTATCATTACATAGTGAAGTTCATAACTCAAGTTTAACACTTAGGATTAGTGCTTCAAATCTAAAAACAGACACAATCACACGTTTTGTAGTATTAGAGCTCTAAAGAACAACTTTTTCTTACCCACAATGCACTGTCAAATGCCAAATTCATCATAACCTGTACTTCCATTAAGAAGGTAATAACCACTCAACAGTGTTTCTGGATCAGTTTAAGTATTACCTGTGTCTGAATAGATGTTTTTATGCACAAACAACATGTTTGTCTTTTTCTCTTTCGTTTCTTCCAGGCATATCATTTTTGCTCCCAGCAGTCACAATAAATACGCAGGCGAGTCTTTCCCAGGGATTTATGACGCTTTGTTCGACATTGAGAATGCGGCGAACCCGCAGAAGGCCTGGGACGAGGTCGAACGCCAAATCAGCATCTCTGCCTTCACCGTCAACGCAGCCGCCGGGACGCTAAAGCCGGTCGCCGGATAGACAGACTTCCTTTAAATCTGCTTTTCAAAACATGCTATTGATGCACAAATACAACATGTACGCAGAATAGATAGTTCACATGTCAATGTTTTATCAAACGCAGAAACTATAAGGACCTGACATGCAGATCTGTGTCTCGAGCGAGCCGATAGATCGTCAATAATGAGCAGATTTCTTTCATCCAGAGAGATGATTTAATTTAGGACACAATCTTATTCAGTTAGGGTTGACTGTAATGTTACTGTCTGAATCCCTGATCTAGAACCAACAGGCAATCACTACCGACATATTTTACAGGTTTATAGTGTTATATCTGATGAAGTGTACTGTACAATGTCATAAATTTGAACATTTCTATTGACTTGCATTGTAAATTGTAAAAGCAATGTTTTTGTTGCTTGTAAATCTTGCATAAATTGTGACATTTGAGAAAATTATTTGTAAAACTATTCTTCCATACACATCTAAAATGATAAAAAATTGCGAACAGAACTTGTTTCTGACCTTGAATTCATTGTGAAATCAGACCCGATACGATCAGGTTCAACGCGACAAAATCATCTCGAAGTCACAGCCAATCAGAAGAGCTTGTGGGCGGAGTCTCTGCAAACGAAATGGACAAATACTTCATCAAATTCATAAATATATCATTACTTTAACATTATTGAAAATACACACCAACTGAAACAATCTTTGACATAGATCAGACTTGTTTGATCACACAGAGTTGACGTTCTACGTTTTATTTTCAGGATCTGAGGTGAAATATTACATTTACATTTATTTATTTGGCAGACGCTTTTATCCAAAGTGACTTACATTGCATTTCAAGGTTCACATTTACATTCTTATCAGTTCTTCTGATTATCCATTCTGTTATCCAGCGGTCAGTGTGTGTATAAAGGTCACCCAAACTGATATTCACACACTCATTAGACACTTTTAACATTAAGTAAAGCACATAAACAATACCTGAGATATTTTCATTGTCATATATATTACTTACCATATACATAAAACATGAATGTGACAATAGGATGGTTTTATAAACAATTTCCAGAGAAGTTCCTCCTAATAAACCACTGTTTTACAAAAATAAAATATAGAGAATGCAAATTAGATTTAGTAAAATCTCCTGAAGAAAATTTGAGAGTACAGTTCAATAGTTTAATGTTTACAGTAACATGATAGAGTCTCAAACAGTAGATCCACAGTAATATTTCATTCTAGTCTATTTCTATCTTCCAATCCATGACACAAGCAAACCTAATCCAAGCTAAACTGAGACTTAAACTTAAACTCGGCTGAGAGGAAGCGAATGTGCATGAATATTAAGGCTGTAAATCATCAGAAACAACATGGAAAGATAAAACAACAAAAAGGCAACAACGAGTGTGAAGAAAGAGTCTCTTCTGTAGACAGACTCTTGATCAAACTTATAACACTTTTCCCAGCGCTGTCTGTATCGCACAATAAATCTATTGTCTAAGGCTTGTTTTCACTTTAACCGTTTGACACGTATTTTGAGTGTTTCTCCTTCTACATTGTAATCAATATCTAATAAAGTTGGAACAATTCAAAGCTGCTATTTTCAGCACTCATTTTCATGAGTCATTACTATAAAACAAGAAACTGGTGTGAAGTCACACACACACGTCAGTGTGATCGCTGTGTGTTTCTGTGTCTTCAGTCTCTTTATTCACCATCAGCTGATCCTGAGGAAACTGAACTGACGTCTGAACACTGAGCGTCCTACAATAAAACACACAGACACACACACACACACATATGAGTACGAGACATTACTGAGTCACATCACATCTGGAGATCATTTCAGGAAAACAAACAGAGATATTAATATATTCATATTACAGTCAGAGATATTAGTATATTCATATTACAGTCAGATATATTAGTATATTCATTACCAAAGATGAATTCACATAAATGAAAAACTAGAAAAGATTCATAACAGCGAATGATGAACAACTCACTTTATCACTTACACACACACACACAACCAAATAATCTGTCAGTAATCAGATTGACGGCTCGGACTGAAAAGTCTTCATGTAAACTCCTGAATCGAATGATCTCGATCTGAATGAAATGTCGATTGGATTGGGTGTTTTATTCCTTTTCTAATGCGATCGAGAGGACATGTAAACACTCGAGATTGAAAACCCAAACTGGAAAGTTGTGTGTGTGTGCAATGACGTAATGATGCGTACGAGCTGTTGTAGTTGTTGAATGAAGTGTCATGAATGATCAACACAATCTCACGGCTTCAGTCCTTCTCTCAGACTCTCATCCACAGGCTGTTTCGGCTGCAGGTACGGGTGTTTTTACTGACAGAGAAATATAAGCAGCGCCGCACAACGGTTCATGTGCTCATCGACTCCTAATTAGGACCTGACCCGTAATATATTAATATTAATTCTGCTGTTTAAAACAAACAAAGTAGGAGAAGAGTGTGTGCAAACAGTGGGAAATATTTGTGCAGTGTGTGCATGTCAAAAACTCAATTCTGATTTGAAGCTTGTGACATATAAACACACATCAACCCGATCACTTTATTTATCGTTCATGTAAACACGACGTTTGGATTCATCAGTCGGAATGAATTAATTCCAATTGAAACAAAAGTTGTTCATGTAAACATGTAAGAGATGAAAATATTCATATAGACCGAGCCTATTCATAGATCATATTCACATCACAGAATTAAACTCTTATTAAAAACAGTTTACAGAGAATAAAGTGGAGCTGAATTATTATCTTATAGGCAAGGCAAGGCAAGTTTATTTATATAGCACATTTCATACACAATGGCAATTCAAAGTGCTTTACATCGAAGAAATTAAAATAATCAGAAGAAATCAGAATAATTAAAACAGTTTAGAATAAAAAATAAGAAATAATGAAAAATAAAACTTATGATAAAATAAAATACAGTAAATTAAAACCATTTAGAATAAAATGAAGTGCAGTAACAGTCGGACGTACAGTGGCACAGTGCTCATTCAGTAAATGCACAGCTAAAGTGTTTTGAGTCTGGATTTGAATTTGAAACTATATTCTACAGTTACACACATATGAGACCTGTTACTGAGATTGTGTCAATATAAAGATTGGAAAAAATATACTCACAGTAGAGTATGTCTTCAGTTTATAATGAGGATCATCCTTCAGTTTAGAGAGCAGCTTTACTCCTGAATATCCAATATTATTCCCGGTCAGATCCAGATCTCTCAGGTGTTCAGGGTTTGATCTCAGAGCTGAAGTCAGAGCAGCAAAACCTTCATCTGTGACGCCACAATCACTCAACCTGTAGAGAACAACGACACACACTTCACTCTCTCAGTTCAGAATCAGATCAGTTTAGCAGTGAATCCATTATTAAAGAGAAAGTTCAAACTTAAAGCACAAATTAATATGTTTGAGGGATCATTAGATTGAGATCTAAAATGTCACAAAACATGATCATACAACATCTAAAGTATCATTCAATCAGGAAAAATAATCTCTTATTTACACTATATTAAAATTCAGTCTTGTGCAAAATCTGCTTTAATAAATGACAATTTTCACTACATAGGTTAGTTTTACTGTTACTTACTAGATCTGTACTATGTCAGTGCAGAAAGAGGAACATAATTAACAGTAAGAATGAATCCAGCATGTTCTTCATTTCTCAGTTCTGACGGTGTTGAGCTCGAGTCTGTTTAAAGTCAAGAGACTGAAATGTTGATTGTGTGTGAAAGTGTGTATTTCAGTGTGACTCTCAGTCCTGCAGTTTCATGTTATTGAGGATCAGCTCGTGTGTTCAATCATTTACACTCAATAATCTGAACTCACAGCAGCAGAAAGAGGCTGAACACTTCAAATATACTTTACATTGTGATTCATGTGTGAGTCAAATATGATCTTACCACAGTTTCTCCAGTTTACAGTGAGGATTCTGTAGTACATCACACAGCAGATTCACTGATTCTCCGATTTTATTCCATGACAGATTCAGTTCTCTCAGGTGTTCAGGGTTTGATCTCAGAGCTGAAGTCAGAGCAGCACAACCTTCATCTGTGACGCCACAATCCATCAACCTGTAGAGAACAACGACACACACGTCACTCTCTCAGTTCAGATCAGATCAGTTTAGCAGTGAATCCATTATTAAAGAGAAAGTTCAAACTTAAAGCACAAATTAATATGTTTGAGGGATCATTAGATTGAGATCTAAAATGTCCCAAAACATGATCATACAACATCTAAAGTATCATTCAATCAGGAAAAATAATCTCGTATTTGCACTTTATTAAAATTTGGTCTTGTGCAAAATCTGCTTTCATAAATGACACTTTTCACTACATAGGTTAGTTTTACTGTTAAGTCGACTGCACACTGTGTGATTTTGGCCGACTGAGACAAATTTTGCAAATCCTAAAAGTTTCGTCTGATCTGAGGCCAAACCTGAAGAGTTTGATGGTTAGTTTGATATTAGAGCTGCACGACTGATGGAAATGAAACCGCACGTGATCTGGTAAAGACTGAGATTATTTTATGCAGTTTGTCAGTGAAGTACGGCTCTGTGATCGGTAGTAAATGCTGCTTCATCTGAAAGCCAGAGAGCATCTCAAACTCACACACACACACACACACACACACACACTAAATATGCCCCGCCACAGAAGAAAGATAACACACATCATTCCAGGAAATCCCTATGGGCATCACACTATCTGTATCTGAATAAACAGAAGATTGAAACGCTTTGATTGATTTATTAAATGTCGTCTTTTGTTGGACAAAAGGTTCATAAAAGCTTCTCATGTTTGGAAAGATGTTTCATGTGTGTTGCTTTTTCAAATACACATTAAAAGCGACTCAAACTCGCAGTTCTTTCAGATGGAGCAGCGTTTACTGATCAGAGCCGTACGTCACTGACACACACTGCATTATAAATGATATGTTCACCGACAGCCGATTGATGACGTTGCGATCAAATTTTACCTCGATGAGATTCTGCAGTGTCAGAAGATTTGACTCTCAGTCCTGCAGTGTGACTTCTCCTACGACAACCGTCACAATGTCTTTGTGTTTCAAGACGAGCCGTGACCAAAATAAACAGAGATTTCTTTGTAGCGACCATTTTAATCTCTCGTGTAACGCAGCTCACATCACCAAACGTGTTCAATCATTTACACTCAATAATCTGAACTCACAGCAGCAGAAAGAGGCTGAACACTTCAAATATACTTTACATTGTGATTCATGTGTGAGAGTCAAATATGATCTTACCACAGTTTCTCCAGTTTACAGTGAGGATTCTGTAGTACATCACACAGCAGATTCACTGATTCTCCCATTTTATTCTCAGACAGATTCAGATCTCTCAGGTGTTCAGGGTTTGATCTCAGAGCTGAAGTCAGAGCAGCAAAACCTTCATCTGTGACGCCACAATACCTCAACCTGTAGAGAACAACGACACACACTTCACTCTCTCAGTTCAGATCAGATCAGTTTAGCAGTGAATCCATTATTAAAGAGAAAGTTCAAACTTAAAGCACAAATTAATATGTTTGAGGGATCATTAGATTGAGATCTAAAATGTCACAAAACATGATCATACAAAATCTAAAGTATCATTCAATCAGGAAAAATAATCTCTTATTTGCACTATATATAATTCAGTCTTGTGCAAAATCTGCTTTAATAAATGACACTTTTCATTACATAGGTTAGTTTTACTGTTACTTACTAGACGTGTACTATGTAATATACATGTAGTGTCAATTAGTGTGTGTGTGTTTGTCTGTGTTTTACAAAATTAAAAGCAATCGTCTAGAAAGAGTCAATGCAGAAAGATGAACATAATTAACAGTAAGAATGAATCTAGCATGTTCTTCATTTCTCAGTTCTGACGGTGTTGAGCTCGAGTCTGTTTAAAGTCAAGAGACTGAAATGTTGATTGTGTGTGAAAGTGTGTATTTAAGTGTGACTCTCAGTCCTGCAGTTTCATGTTATTGAGGATCAGCTCGTGTGTTCAATCATTTACACTCAATAATCTGAACTCACAGCAGCAGAAAGAGGCTGAACACTTCAAATATACTTTACATTGTGATTCATGTGTGTGAGTCAAATATGATCTTACCACAGTTTCTCCAGTTTACAGTGAGGATTCTGTAGTACATCACACAGCAGATTCACTGATTCTCCCATTTTATTCCATGACAGATCCAGATCTCTCAGGTGTTCAGGGTTTGATCTCAGAGCTGAAGTCAGAGCAGCAAAACCTTCATCTGTGACGCCACAATAACTCAACCTGTAGAGATGAAAATCAAACAGCAGAATTTAAACACTATCAAACAGCTTTCCAACAAATTCCAATTCAATACAACCCGTTTTTGCGGCGGTAAGAAATGTAGCCAATCACAGACATGTTTGCTGATCTCTTTTTTGTTCAGTGCCGAGTTATTCACGTTCACAAATCCTCTCATTAACAAAAAGACAGATTTTATTTTTCTATTGTTTATTATGTATCTCTGTGAGATTGTGAACTGAGATGAGTGACAGATTTATAATGATTGTAAAGGGAGCGCTCTTCAGAGGTTATACATAATCCATTGAATAAAAGTTTAGATTTTCTTGCTGCTGAGAGGACCGATGGCCAATTACACGCTGCAAAATGGCTACAATAATGGTTAATATTACAACATATTAATAAATAAATCAAAAAATATTATTAATAAATATCGATATATTTTTTTAAATTTCATTCCAAATATTTGTAAAAGTAATGACATGTAAATAATCTTAAATGTCTCATTGTACATTGCTATTCTTGTTCTGTAAGAGTCGTTGCTACACATTAAATCTGCACTTTACTAGAGAACCATCACTAATTTCACACTCAGTGATTTGACTCTTAATTGTCAATCTCAAAGTAAAATTAAAAATGTGAAGTTTTAGTGAACTTTAATCTAAACATCAAGTTAATGTTTAATTGTCCGTCTAATAGACAAATATAAATGTATGACTCTGACTGCTATAGACCATGCATCAAATGTTTTAGGAGATTTGAGCTACTTAATAAATGAGCTGTTTCTCCAGTTGTTTACTTGGTCTTAATTTCTTTAATCATTTATTTTAAATATTTAAATTCCTTCTTTATGTGCAAGAACATTTAACTAGTAAACTAATTCATACACAAATTTGCTTGAAGGAATTTGACATTGTCACGGTTTAAGAAACACATGAAATCCTGACCACTGAACTCTACACAACATCTGCAGCACTGAAGATTGATGAACTTTTATTTTCTAATGTTTTAACAGTGAACTGATTGTTCTGATTGATACTTACTGAACTGATCTGGATTCTTTAATCACAGGACGAAGCTTCTGAAGAACCTTTAGTTGTTCAGTTTTATTGTCGCTTCCAACAAAATCATTAATATCAAACTTGTCCAGCTTCTCCTCTGATGTCAACAACACAAAGACTAAAGCTGACCACTGAGATGAAGAGAGATTGACTTCCTTTATTCTTCCAGATTTCAGATACTGTTGTATTTCCTCCACTAGTGAACGATCACCCAGTTCATTCAGACAGTGGAACAGATTGATGGATTTCTCTGGAGAGTCGATGGTCCTGATCTTCTCCTTGATGTACTCAACTGTTTCCTCATTGCTGTCAGATGTTCTCGTCTGTTTCATTAGTGTTTGTAGGAGAATCTGGTGAGACTTTACTGACAGACCCAGAAGAAACCGCAGGAAAAGATCCAGATGTCCATTTTTACTCTGTAGAGCCTCTTCCACAGCTCTCTGATGCAGCGCAGATAATGAAACATGTTTAAACATGAGCTGAAACCAGTCCTTAACTTTAGACCGCAAACTCTGTTTGGTGATTGAGTCAAACACATTTGTGTTGTTGATTGTACAGGAGAGATGCACATATAGAGCCGCTAGATGTTCCTGAACACTCAGATGAACAAAGCAGAAGACTTTCCCCTGATACCAGCCAAACTCCTCTCTGAAGATCTGAGTGCACAATCCTGAGTACACTGATGCTTCTGTCACATCAATGCCACACTCTCTCACGTCTTCCTCATAGAAGATCACATTGCCTTTCACAAGCTGCTGAAAAGCCAGTTTCCCCAGTTTGAGGATCAGGTCTTCATTGGTCACCTTCTTCTCATAGTCCTTCTCATGTTTGATGTTGGTCTGAAGGATCAGGAAGTGTGTGTACATCTGAGTGAGAGTCTTGGGAATCTCTCGTCTCTCTGCTTCGCTCATCATCTTCTCCAGAACAGCGGCTGAGATCCAGCAGAACACTGGGATGTGGCACATGATGTAGAGGCTCCTTGAGGACTTCAGGTGTGTGATGATTGTATTGGCCAGACTCTGATCACTGACTCTCTTCCTGAAGTATTCCTCCTTCTGTGGATCATTGAAGCCTCGTACCTCTGTCACTCGATGGACACACTCAGACGGGACGAGATCGGCTGCTGCTGGTCTGGAGGTGATCCAGATGAGAGACGAGGGAAGCAGATTCCCCACAATGAGGTTCGTCAACAACACGTCCAGTGAGGCTGATTCACTCTCATCACACAACCTCACATCGCTCTGAAAATCCAGAGACAGACGACACTCGTCCAGACCATCAAAGATGAACAACACTTTATATTTGTCACTGGATATTTCTTTAGTTTCAGGGAAAAAGACATGAAGAAGCTCTGAAAGACTGAGTGTTTTGTCCTTCATCAGATTGATCTCTCTGAAAGGAAGTGGAAATATGAGCTGGACGTCCTGATTGTCTTTCTCTTCAGCCCAGTCCAGGATGAACTTCTGCACAGAGACTGTTTTTCCAATGCCAGCGACTCCCTTTGTCAGCACAGTTCTGATGGGTTTGTCTTGTCCAGGTAAAGGTCTAAAGATGTCATTGCATTTGATCGGTGTGTCCTCTGTTGCTGCTCTCCTGGATTGTGTCTCAATCTGTCTCACCTCATGTTCATTACTGATGTCTCCACTCTCAGTCTCTGTGATGTAGAGCTCTGTGTAGATCTCATTCAGGAGTGTTGGGTTTCTCTGCATTCCTGTTCCCTCATACAGACACTCAAACTTCTTCATCAGATTTGATCTAAACCTGTTGAGGACTTCATGGCTGAAAAATTAAAATATCACAGTATTAATAATCACAATGTCTTTTTTTAATCATATTTTGTTGAAATGTAATACCTGAGATCAGTCTGTGTATCTCCACTCCTCATAGACACACAGCTGGACTCTGGTTCTGATCTCTTCTGATGAACTAAACTATAAAAAGTTAAACATATTTTTCATATTCAACATATTACATATCCATCCATCAATAAATCATGATTATTTAATTTACACTGCTATTAAAAATGTGTTCACTGAAATTAGTTCTTCACAGATGTGTCTCTGTGTGAGCAACACTATACTGTATGCATCAAAATATTACATTAAAACATTTTTCTTGTACATTGTTTATATCTTGTAGAATACATTACCAATAATGTTCTAATAATATAAAATGCCATACTATAATCCTATTTTTATAGAAATTAAATACCTGAGATCATGTTGTCTATCTTCACTCTTAAAATGTACTGGATGATCCATAGACGTGTCACTCCTCATAGACACACAGCTGGGCTCTGGTCCTGATCTCTTCTGATGAACTGAACTATAACAGAAATAGATTAAAGTTAATACATTGAATTACTGCATTAAAAAAAAAAATCACATATTAATTTAGCTTCGCAATGCTGATAAACCAAACCTGTAAAATTAACTAAGTGCTCTCATACGTCTCTCATATGTGAGTAACACTATACACATTAAAATATTAGGTACATATAAAAAAATAACTGTAAGCAATGTCCAAAAATAATTTATCATTTCTTGTAGAAAACATTACAGATAATGTTCGGATAATATAAAATGACTATAATATAAAAAATATATTATAATCATATTTTTATTGAAATGTAATACCGGAAATCATGTTGTATATCTTCACTCTTAAAATGTACTGGATTATCCATAGACGCGTCACTCCTCATAGACACACAGCTGGACTCTGGTCCTGATCTCTTCTGATAAACTGAACTATAACATAAAAAATGATAATTATTGGTGACACAATTTTAATATAAGTTCTTAAAAGATATTTTAATTAAAAGACTGGCTGGTCTAATTGTTTATAAAATTAAAGTTTTCAACTTTAACATCATTCAAATCATCTTCTTGCCTATAATTTAAAGATGATTTAATCTGTAGTTTATTCAAAATACCTGCATCCTGGATAAAAATCTTCATCTCTGGATGTTTGAGTCTCATCCATGATGAAGCTGAACAGTTGAAACAGAATCTGATCTTCACCACTGACTCTGAATGGAAATGACAAACACAATAATTCACAATAATTCAGCAGAACGGATCCTGAGATTTAGTCTAGATGGGATGTCCCAAAAAGTGAAAGTGAGGAGCATTTATGGGTACAAGTCGGGTACCGGCCTATCTTACATATTTCAAGGGTGCGGAGTCCAAAAAAACTGGTACCCAACCAAAATTTTTAGTTTTTTACCTTCTAATTTGCATATCAAAATGGCCACCAAATTGCTCAGTCGTTGGACCATTTTCTCCTAGTTTTTTTTTGTAAGTAGGAAATCAAAATGAGGAAATTAAGTTTTTAGATCGATAGTCAAGGGTCAGAGCAACGATATATCTGAGGCTCACTGCCTTTTTTATGTATATATATTTGCAAAATACCAACTTTTAAGGCGAAACACTAGGTGAATAGGGTAAGATTTTTAAATAATAGATATCACCATAAAACTTCCTCAGTTGATTACTTACAAATTTCAAAAACTTATAATACATTTTTTATATACTTGTGTATGTTTAATTATGCAAATTAGGCATTATCTCATTAAATATGTGCAATTTTGCATATATTTTCGGGTAGATAGATCTGAACATATGATAAAGCAAGGTGCAAAATTATTAATTTTTTTTTATTTGTTTTACGCACAAGATGGGAAATTTTTTTTTAATTATCTAGGAAATCAAAATATACTGTCCATACCCTTTAAAAAATCGATTTTCGCCATATTTTTTTGATTAAAATGTCACATAAATCAGGCCAGTAATGATCTATTAACAAAACCCTCTGAAAATATCTTCAGAAAACATAAGTGTATAACTGGAAAGTTTGGTGTACATAGGTGCTACATAGGCTGAGATATATGTACTAGAGAATGACAAAAAACTCATTTTGAGAAAAAGGCATTTAAAGATTTAAGTAGGGAATTTATATTGGAAAAAAAAAAACTTGGTGGAGGGGTTTGAGTTCCCGAACGACCTTAGGAGCTATGTTGTCTGGGGTTATATGCCCCTGGTAGGGTCTCCCAAGGCAAACAGGTTCTAGGTGACGGGTCAGACAAAGAGTGGTTCAAAAAACCTTATGAGTGAAAAAAAAAAACAAGGGCGCAGCCAGGGCCCCACCCTGGAGGGGTTGGGGCTCGTATGCGAGCGCTTGGTGGATGGGCCTCCCCCCACGGGGTCCGGCTGGGCTCAGCCCGAAGAAGCGACGTGGGACCGCCTTCCTGTGGGCTCACCACCTGCAGGAGGAACCGTAACGGGCCAGTGCTGAGAGGATCTGGCGACAGTCGAAGGCGGTGGCCTCGACAACCCAATCCCTGGACACGGAAACTAGCTCTAGGGACGTGTAACGTCACCTCGCTGGTGGGTAAGGAGCCTGAGATTGTGCGTGAGATTGAGAGGTTTCACCTAGAGATAGTCAAGATCACCTCTACGCATGGCTTGGGCTCTGGAACCACACTTCATGAGAGAGGATGGACTCTTCACCACCCTGAAGTTGGAGATGGGCAGGTGTGGGTTTGCTTATAGCCCCCATCTCAGCCACCATGTGTTTGAGTTTACCCCGGTGAACAAGAGGGTCGTTTCCCTGCGCCTACGGGTCGGGGATAGGTCTCTTACTGTCGTGTGTGTCTACGGGCTAAACGGCAGAGCAGAACACCCAGCCTTCTTGGGGTCTCTGGGAGGAGTGCTGGAAAGTGCTCCGACTGGGGACTCCATCGTTCTACTGGGGGACTTCAGCGCTCACGTGGGCAGCGACAGTGACACCTGGAGGGGCATGATTGGGAGGAACGGCCCCCCCGACCTGAACCCGAGTGGTGTTCAGTTATTGGACTTCTGTGCTAGTCACAGTTTGTCCATAACGAACACCATGTTCAAGCATAAGGGTGTCCATCAGTGCACGTGACACCAGGAAACCCTAGGCCAGGGGTGCCCAACCCTGCTCCTGCCGATCGACTGTCCTGCACAGTTCATCTCCAACCCTGATCAAACACACCTGCCTTTAATTTTTAAGTGATCCTGAAGACCTTAATTGGTGTGTTTGATTAGAGTTGGAGATAAACTGTGCAGGACAGTCGATCGGCAGGAGCAGGGTTGGGCACACCTGCCCTAGGCCATAGGTCGATGATCGACTTTGTGGTTATTTCATCTGACCTTCGACCATTTCTTGGACACTCGGGTGAAGAGAGAGGCGGAGCTGTCAACTGATCACCACCTGGTGGGGAGTTGGATCCGATGGCAGGGGAGGAAGCTGGACAGACTCTGCAGACCCAAGCGTACTGTAAGGATCTGATGGGAACGTTTGGCAGAGTCTCCTATCAGAGAGATCATCAACTCACACCTCCGGCAGAGCCTCGACCGGATCCCGAGGGAGGCTGGAGATATTGAGTCTGAGTGGACCATGTTCTCCACCTCCATTGTCCAAGCGGCTGCTCGGAGCTGTGGACCTAAGGTCTCCGGTGCCTGTTGAAGGGGCAATCCCCGAACCACAGGGGGCAATCAGTGCTCAGAAGTGGAAAGCAGTGCCCCGCCAATGCTGTTTACAGTGGAGGTGGGCGGCTGTTGACCTCAACTGGGGATGTCGTCGGACGGTGGAAGGAATACTTCGAGGATCTCCTCAATCACGCCGTCACGTCTAGGGTTGTAACGGTATGAGATTTTCACTGTATGATAATCGCCTCAGAAAATATCCCGGTTTCACGGTATACGATATTAAACTATCATTATTATAATCATCATCAGCTACAATGGCCCTTAAATGAATAAAAACAGATATGGTTTTTGGTTGAACATGGTTTATTGTATCAAAGTTTTTTTCAATAGTGTCTTTATGAAATGTATATTTATTACCTCAAAAATTCTGGGTTGTCTGAAATAAATGGTCTGGATTCTGTGACTGAATACAATATGTATTTTTGAAAATGCAATCAGATAAAATGTAATAACTTTAGTTTGTCTACACAAGAGAGGTTTACTAAATTAAAACATGGACAAAAAAACTATACACAATAGTAATATATTTAAGTCATAGGCTAAACCAAACTTTTTTTTACAGGTTGTACTGAACACCTATGAGTTTCAGTCAGTGTTCTCTGTCTGGATATGTTCATGTGTTCACGTCTTCATATAGTGGGTGAGACAGCTTTAAAAACCATGAGCGTCATGCGTACTTGAGTGTGTACTAGATCTAGACGAAACGGCGCTGCTCATTCATACAGAGACACACTGAATAGCCTATAGAAGGGGCTTGCACACCAGTCTTTTTGCGTTGTATATTCACAGACACGCACATCGCGATTTGATTTAGGCTACTGCACAGCTATATTTTGATTTATTCATCCATCTTTCTTTTAAATCGCACATTTTACGTGGCATCTGTTTTGTAATGCAAAAAGACGGGTGTGCATCTTTTTGACAGACCGGGATTCCCTCAGTATGACAGAAATAATATGGCCTTAAGTTATAAAAGTTATGAATAACCTTTATCTTCACGGAGGGATGGTGTTTCTGAATATGGTAGAACATGTTCGACGCGTTTCCTCTTGCAGCCACTCTTCGTCCACATATCTTGCAAACTGGATATCCATCTTCAAGGACGATCGTTTTTCGGATATACAAAATATTCCCGTACTGCAGATTTTATTAAATTTTTGGGCGGGAGATAGAGATTCGCAGCCTCTGTCTCTGACATTTTCAGCGCTGTACAGGTATGGAGTCTAAGCAGTCAAGCTGAAAGAAGTTGCACGCGGCAATGCAGGTGAATTTTGTTTTGTTTTTTTGTTTTTGTTTTCAAAACCGCAGATAAGCAAATGTGCACGATATGATAATCGTACATGTCAATATCGCGATAAACCGCCATACCGGTATACCGTTACAACCCTAGTCACGTCTTCCATCGAGGAAGCAGAGGATGAGGGCTCAGAGGTGGACTCATCCATCACCCTAGCTGAAGTCACCAAGGTAGTCAAGAAACTCCTTGGTGGCAAGGCACCGGGGGTGGATGAGATCCGCCCCGAATACCTCAAGTCTCTGGATGTTGTGGGGCTGTCTTGGCCGACACGCCTCTGCAGCATCGCGTGGCGGTTTGGGACAGTGTCTCTGGGATGGCAGACCGGGGCGGTGAAACTCACCGAGTGGTCTGGGGTGTTCACTGATATGCTCACACAAAAATCGCCTCAAAAGATGCTTTCCAACAGGTTTTATCGTAGTTTTTGTCCAACTCCATTGACTTGTATTGTATGTTCTGTGATGTCCATTATTACTCCACCACCTGGAAATGGAAATGTGGCTATTTGTATTCTTTCTGTAGTCTTATGCAGTCGCGTGTATACAAGTGGTTTGCTTGCAATTGGCAAAGGTGCATTATCGCCACCAACTGGGCTGGGTTGTCTATTATTCAAGCTCTCAACGGGAGAATGTCCGGCTGTGAGGCGTTCGGAAAAAATAGGTCTACAGTTTTACAACGAATGGTAAAACACCTGTTGGAAAGCATATTTTGAGGCGATATTTCTGTGAGCATATCAGTGAACACCCCAGACCACTCGGTGAGTTTCACGTAAGTTGTAAACTAAAGTTTTATGCGTTATTATGAATGATTGTTTCAGTGCACCTATACTACCATTGTAAAGGTGGGGGGTGCTAACACAGAAACCGAAAATTCTCGTGACAGCAGCATTTGTCTAAAAAACAATCCTAACTATTCTATTTCATCAGAAACAATCTTAAAACAGGGCTTTAATTGTAAAATACTGAACGTGTCCTTAAAGAAGGGGGATCGAAGGGTGTGTTCTAACTACAGGGGGATCACACTTCTCAGCCTCCCTGGGAAAGTCTATGCCAAGGTACTGGAGAGGAGAATACGGCCGATAGTGGAACCTCGAATTCAGGAGGAACAGTGTGGTTTTCGTCCAGGCCATGGAACACTGGACCAGCTCTACACCCTCTACAGAATGCTGGAGGGTTCATGGGAGTTTCCCCAACCAATCCAAATGTGCTTTGTGGATTTGGAGAAGGCATTTGACTGTGTCCCTCGCTCTCGATTTACTGGTCAATCTATGCTCCTACTCTCACCTATGGTCATGAGCTTTGGGTCATGACCGAAAGGACAAGATCCCAGATACAGGCGGCCGAAATGAACTTTGTTTTATGCACATCATATAGGATGAGACAAAAGCCTCTGAAGATATTTGAGTCTCCTCCGTGAGATCACCAATTCCGAGGTTGCTGAGCAATTGAGGGTGCATTTTCCAGACTTTCCACAATGTACTTTTGGTGTGACTTGCAATGTGTGATGTGGTATCACAACCAGTTAGTGCATGAAATGCTACAAGGCTTGGTGCTGAATCCTTTGGCAGTCATAGAAACACTGATTTGCTTGTGATTCTGGTTTCCCATTTCCTGCACGTAGCATGTAAAAAACTCTGGCTGTTGTCTGCCTCAATATATACCCATTGATGCTGTTTTTAATAAACTGCCAAAGGATTCAGTACCAAGCCTTGTAAACAAAATGAAAAAAAAAATTTTGCACCTGGCTTTATCATATGTTCAGATCTATCTACCAAAAATATGTGCAAAATTGGGCATATTTAATGAGATAATGCCTAATTTTCATAATTAAACATACAAATTTCAAAAACTTACAATACTTTTTTTTTATATACTTGTGTAAGTAATCAACTGAGGAAGTTTCATGGTGATATCTATTATTTACAAATCTTACCCTATTCACCTAGTGTTTCGCCTTAAAAGTTGGTATTTTGCAAATATACATATACATATATATATATATATATATATATATATATATATATATATACATAAAAAAGGCAGTGAGCCTCCAATAGATCTGTGCTCTGACCCTTGACTATCGATCTAAAAACTTAATTTCCTCATTTTGATTGCCTACTTACAAAAAAACTAATGGTCCAACGACTGAGCAAGATAAGCAATTTGGCGGCCATTTTGATATGCAAAATAGAAGGTAAAAAACTCACAATTTTGGTTGGGTACCAGTTTTTTTGGACTCAGCACCCTTGAAATATGTAAGATAGGCCGGTACCCGACTTGTACCCATAAATGCTCCTCACTTTCACTCTTTAGGACATCTTGACTAATTCAGAGAAGCATGAGACGCGGCGTTCACTCAAATACACACTGTTAGTCGTATATTCACACAAATGCTAAATAAACCACAGACAACACGACAAAATGAAAGCGTGTTAAGCTCTAAAATGAAAAATATCAAACACATAAAATAACTAATATGTACTTTAGGGAAATAGGCTAATATTGGCCTAAATGCGGAAGTCACCTGTAAACGTCTCGAGACCTGAACACTCACCTTGATCAACGTTCATCACATTCAGTTTCACGAAAATCCACCGCCGTTTCTATCAAGTAGTTACACGTAAATTCGTGTCTTATGAAGGTTTCCACGAAAAGCTTTGCATTTGATAATCAGTATAGAATCTATTCCGGCTGTTAAAATGGCGAAACACCAACTCCGATCTTTTACTTTTGCTTTTTGTTACGTGCAAAAAAAAAATGATGGCGTCACGTTACGCGCGCGCTCAGAGTCCTGCAGGTGAACAGGTTAACCCGCACTCGCGGTAGGTTAGTCAACAGAGCCATAGAAAGCCATGTCACGTTTTCAGTGTGTTTAGTTAGTTTTGTGATCTTGTTTCCACCTGTCTTTGTGATTTTGGTTCCTGTTAGTGTTAAGTCCTGTGTTGTGCCGAATTCCTGCCAGAATCTGACTGCCCTCGCGAGCACGCGCATGACGTCAATTTGTGCCGCCGCCCATAGGCCACTTGCGAAAACAGACAGTAATCAGACGACGTAAGAAATAACATGTGTTGTGTCCTTTGCTGTAATTCATAATGCTACCTTTAGAGGCGCTGTGTTGTAAGAGGTTAGACAAGTGGGTAGAAGAAGAAGAGAGGTGGAGTGTTAGTCATGTGAAGTTACGGTCAACACATGTAAAGTTAAGATGGAAATAAAAGAGCATCATTGAAGATATACATGTCGTGCTTACTACTCATCCAGAACTTAACAAATTGGCGACGAGGATACTAAGTTTGATATAAAGCTACTGACCAACCATGTCCGTGCATGTATCTGCACCGTCAATGTTTCTGGCTTGCCCGGGAGAGCCTACCATGCCATTCGACATGTGGTTGCGCATGTTTGAAAACTATTTGACGGTAATCAACGCAGTGGGTGATGCATGGCCTGTTGCTAGGAGAAGGGCAACATTACTTCACTGTTTGGGCGCAGAGGGCCAACGGATCTTTTACGCATTGCCAGACACCGGTGAGACATACAATTCTGCCGTTGATGCTTTGAAAAAACACTTCATGCCTAAAATTAATGTTGTCGTGGAACGGCATACGTTCAGAAAGAGAGTTCAAGCCTCGCACGAAAACATACAACAGTATGTTGCTGCTTTGCATGCACTTTCCGTTAACTGTGACTTCGGTGATAAAGGGGATGATATGATCCGCGACCAATTGCTGGAACATTTGCACAGTGATGATATTAGACAGAGACTGTTACTCGAGCCGGACCTGACATTACAGAAAGCAACTACCCTTGCAACACAATTAGAAGCCGCGGCTGAGCATGCAAAGAGAATGACGGCCGATAGAGATGCTCCGGTGCAAGCTGTACAAGTCAAATCACAACACGCGAGCGGGAAACCCTGGTCACGTCCGACTGCTGCCTCCGCTTCGTCAGCCCGTAAGTCATGTTTCAGATGCGGTTCAGACAGACACTTAGCTAACTCTGCACAGTGTCCAGCTGCAAAGCTGTTTTGTAAATTATGCAACAAGAAGGGACATTTTGCTCGTGTGTGTCGTTCAGCCTCAGCGAATGATGTGCGCGAGGTACAAGTACATGACGTCACAGTGCTGTATCTAGAGAACTCTGCCGAAGTGCCAAAGAAACTGCATTGCAATGTGACTGTCAATACTCCTGCTTCATCTGGCACCACAGTACAATTCGTTGTGGATACAGGTTCTTCTGTGTCTATACTGCCTCTTCACATCTATAAACGTCACTTCAGTGCCACAAAATTATCAACACCTGCCATCCGCCTGGTGACTTATACACAGGAATACATACCTGTACTCGGATGCCTGCAAGCACAAGTGGGTTTATCAAACGCGTCAGCTGCTGCCACATTCTTCGTTGTGGATAAAGGGACTGCTTTGTTAGGCATGGACTTGATTTCTGACCTACAACTTCAAATAAAAGGTGATAATGTCTGCACTTCTGTCATGACCACCAATACCACATTCCTGACAGATACTGAAATAGGATGTGTAAAGAACTTTGTCCACATGGCAAAAATTGACCACACAGTAAAACCTGTGCGTCAGAAATTGCGACGCTTACCTTTTGCAGTCAGAGCGTCTGTTTCAGCTGAACTAGACCGTCTGCTAAAAGCAGGTGTCATCGAACGTGTGGATGCTTCAGCCTGGGTGTCCCCCATCGTTGTTACTGGGAAGAAAACAGGTGGAATACGAATGTGTGCAGACTTAAGAGAAGTTAACAAAGCTGTCATCACTGACTGTTATCCATTACCACACATTGATGAAATGCTTACCAGCCTTAGGGGTGCTACAGTATTTTCTACTATTGATCTGGCTAATGCATACTATCAGCTTCCCCTGCATGAGGATTGTAGAGATATTACAGCTTTTATCACCCATGACGGTCTGTTCAGATATTGCAGGGTTCCCTATGGCCTGGCGTCAGCACCCTCTGCTTTCCAAAAGATGATGGCAACCATCCTGGAGGGCGTGCCAGGTGCCAAAAATTACTTGGATGATGTTATCGTGTATGGAGAAACGGCTGAGGACCATGACTTCAACCTCAGTACAGTACTGCAGAAATTGAAAGAGTCTGGGCTGGTGTTAAATGAAAAAAAATGCAATTTCAAACAGACTTCACTGCGGTTCCTGGGCCATGTAATCAGCGCTAATGGAATCCTACCTGATCGAGAGCATCTGAATGCGGTCTGTGAAGCTCCGCCTCCATCTGATGCAGCATCCCTTCAATCCTTTCTAGGATTAGTGTCCTGGTACTCAAAATTCCTTCCTGGGTTTGCGACAGTGGTTGCCCCAATGCGTGAGTGCGCTAAAGAAAAGGGACAATTTTCTTGGACGCCTGCTGCTCAAAGCAGTTTTGAGAACATTAAACAAATGCTTGTGTCCAGTCCAGCTCTTGCTATTTATGATCCCACACTTCATTCAATCATTTCAACGGATGCCAGCGACTACGGGTTGGGCGCAGTGTTCACCCAAGTGCAATCAGACGGAACAGAAAAACCAGTGGCTTTCGCTTCTCGCACACTCACGGATGCTGAAAAGAAATATTCTATCGTGGAGAAGGAGGCCCTGGCATGTGTGTGGGCTACTGAGAAATGGCGAACGTACGTGTGGGGCCATCGCTTTACACTTCGCACTGACCATCAGGCACTCACCACCTTACTCTCTACAAAAGGCATGGGGAGAGCCGGAATGCGGATTGCTCGTTGGGCGGCACGTCTGCTATGTTTTAATTATGACGTCGTTTATAGGCCAGGTTCCCAGAACCACACAGCAGACTGCTTGTCTCGTCTTCCCATACCGTCATCTGGTGATGACCCTACTGATTTAGAGCCTGAAATTGTTGCATTAATTTCCTCTACATTATGTTCTCTTTCAGTGACTGATTTTGAAACTGCCTGTGCTGCCTGTCCTGAACTGGAGATGCTGCGAAAGCAAATTACACATGGCTGGCCACCCTCCATCAAAGCAGTGAGTCAGGACATGATTCCATACTTCAGAGTGAGAGATGAGCTTGCAGTGAAAGATGCTTTCATTTTCAGAGGAACAAGGTTGTTAGTTCCTGTAGACCTACGGCACACCTTGATTTCCTTGGCACACGAGTCTCATCAGGGAATAGTCCGCACAAAACAGAGGTTGCGGGATCTTTACTGGTGGCCGCAGATGGACTCTCAGGTCCAGTCAACTATCGCTACATGCATTCCCTGCCAGTCCAATGACAAATCTGCTGTGACGCATCCAGCACCTTTGCAGCCAGTTCAGTTTCCTGAAGGTCCGTGGAAAAAACTGGGTCTGGATGTAGTTGGACCATTTGAAACCGCCATCCCTGCTTGCAGATATGCTATAACACTCACAGACTATCACTCCAAGTGGCCTGAACTTGCATTTGCTAGTAGTGCAACTACGGTGGATGTTATAAAATTTCTGAGTACAGTTTTTAGTCGTCATGGCAACCCAGAGAGTATTGTTACGGACAATGGTACACAGTTCACCTCAGCTGCCTTCGCGGAGTTTTTGAAGGAACGAGATATTAAACACATCCGTACATCTGTGTACTATCCTGCATCTAACGGTGCTGTTGAAAGATTTCACCGTGCACTGAAAGGTTGTGTCCAGACAGCCATTCAACACTCACAACCATGGAACAAAGCTGTTACAGAGTGGCTCCAGGTGTACCGTGCAACCCCTCACGCTACTACGGGTGTATCACCATATGAGCTCTTATATGGGAGGAAGATGCGAACCAAGCTTAACATCCTGCCTTTACAGGGAGAGGGCAAATGTGATCTCGCTGCGGTCCGTGAAAATGTGGAAAAGAAACAGGACAAAATGAAACTGTACACTGATCACAGACGCGGTGCTCGCAATCCTCTCTTTGGTGTGGGAGGGAAAGTGAGAATAAGACTTCCTCGTGCAACCCCAAAAGGTCATCCTAGATTTTCTGCTCCGGTCAGAGTAGAGGAGAGAGTGGGAACCAACACATTTCTGCTCAGTGATGGAAAAAAGTGGAATGCTGCTCACCTGGCATACTCACCAGAAATGATTGACTGTGCTAGTAACACAGCGCAGCAAACGCACAACACTACACAGAGTGCTGTGAAAGTCTCGCGTATGAGACGTAAGCCTGTTTGGCACAAGGACTATGAGATACACTGAACAGGACTGTTTACATCCAAGTCGTGCAAGTGTAGGCCAAGAGAAAAACTGTTCTGAGAGAGTTAACCAGTCTTGGTTATAATTGTGTTGGAAGAAAGGTTATTAATATGTTCCAATGTCAACTGACTGCTTATGCTGACTGTTCATGTATTATGTCGTAAGTTAGGGAACAGATAGGTCTACGTTACTGTTTTATATACATTGATAATAGTTGTTAGGTTGTCACACTACTTCAGTCAGAGAACATGTTTCCTTCAAGTTGGGCTAAGAACAATGTTTTTACAAAGAGGGGAAATGTTGTGTCCTTTGCTGTAATTCATAATGCTACCTTTAGAGGCGCTGTGTTGTAAGAGGTTAGACAAGTGGGTAGAAGAAGAAGAGAGGTGGAGTGTTAGTCATGTGAAGTTACGGTCAACACATGTAAAGTTAAGATGGAAATAAAAGAGCATCATTGAAGATATACATGTCGTGCTTACTACTCATCCAGAACTTAACAACATGATAGCAATTTGTTTGTTGATCTTTGATCATCTATTTATTCTTTTTTCGTCTTTGATCATGTA